ATATATATATATATATATATATATATATATATATATATATATATATATATATATATATATATATGTTGACTATTACAAAATCAAAGAAATACTGACGCAATTTAGTCGAACTTCTTTACAAATCTTCACTTGCATTAAAAACTTATTGATTATATACACGTAAAACAAATGTACATTATTACAATGTTTGCTTTCAGTTTGTTACTTCATCTGCATATAACATAGTTTATCGGCATGTTGCTATACGTCTGTGCATGATTAGATACATAAGCGTCTATTGACTTTAAGCAAATATAAAATCCTAGAAATTATTCATATGTTGAATGGGTTACTTTATTAAAAATGGTCTCTAATTTATTATATTTCCAAAAAAAATTCTAATACCAGAGACCCACTCAAGGATTCCATTTCTTATTTTGCTTTAAATAGGAGACCATCTTCTCTATTCTATTCTATCATATTCTCTAATTTCTCTGCTCTTAATTTAGTGTAAAAAATGGGGAGGATATTTGTAGTGGATCTTGAAGGCAAAACTTACAACTGCAAATTCTGCAAAACCCAACTTGCCCTTGTTAATGATCTTATTTCAAAGGATTTTCTTTTTCTCATGGGAAAAGCATACTTGTTAAGAAATGTGGTAAATATAAATTTTGGACCTAATGAGGAGAGAATGATACTTTCTGAAATGCACACAGTTGCAGATATATTTTGTTGTTGTTGTGGGCAGATTGTTGGCTGGAAATTTGTGGCGATCCCAAATGGCAAAAATCACAAGTATAAAGAAGGGAGATTTGTTCTTGAAATAGGAGGGATTGTTGACTCTGAATTGTATATTGATAATACTAGTCCAAGCATGAGTGATGCATAATCTTGGTTTCCTTTGCAGCTCTCTTATATATTAAAATGGTATTTCTATGGTTGTATCTTGTATTACTTACCAAAAGAACTATTATATCTTGCTATATTTTCTCTTTTCGCTTCGTCTTTTTATTATCATGTTGTTGTTACTACTTTCTTTTCATCTCTCCTTAAACGGAGGGTCTATCGGAAACAGCTTCTCTGCCTTCTCAAGGTAGAGGTAAGATCTGCATGCATATTACTCTCAGACTCAACTTATGGAATTATACTGAATTTACTGTTTGTTGTTGTTGTTTGTTGCTATATGTACTATTAACATAACTAGATACAAGCATTGTCATTATCTTTTTCATTTTCACATCAATAGCAGAATCATATATTCAAAGAAGTTTAATTTTGGCTCTTGAAAGATTGGTTTTTTTCTTCCCTCTATCGGATAGTAACTCTTTGATTTTATTTTATTTTTAAGAAAGAAGCTAATAAAGTGTAGACCTTGTGTGAATTTTCACAGAGAAATTTAAATTTAATTCAGACTCCAATGACAGATCTTTTATGACCAAGATTATCACACCTCGACGGAATATTAGTTCTAGTCTAGTCAAAATTTTCAGTTACAACAATTTTTGGTACGTCCAGTTGGACAAGTCTAAAACGAGTTCTAAAAGCTTTACTTTTACTGGGCACAATATTGCTCAGCATGAGATTACGATGTGACAAGATTTTTTCATGCATGGGTCCCCAATCAACGACGAAAGAAGAGTGTAAGTTCCCTCAAAGGCAAATCCACGATTTGAATGATTTCCTATAACGACTTCAAGTTAATACTACAATAATAATTGAGTTCTAGGTTTACGTTAACCTGTATCGTATCCACCTCTGGTCAAGTTGTAAACACATCATTCATTTGGAATCATTAGAGCGTTGTGTATCCCGTGGTGCGCAGCTATTTCACCAAGGAACAAGAGTTCAGGCAGCACGAGGAAGTTTTAGCGCCAACTTCACCAGTGGCATCTCAACAACAACAACAAAAGACCCAGTGTAATCCATAAAATGGAGTCTGGGGAGGGTAGTCAGTAGTGTATACGCATACCTTACTCCTACCTTATAAAAGTCCATATGTGTCTCTGCCATATGGTGCAGAGGCTTCACAAAACTCAAACGGCTAGTCACGCATGGTTAACTACACTAACTACATTTTTCAATAAAAGGCAACTTACCCAATACCATAGCCAAACTCTCAATATAGTAAGGAGGCTTACCATTATGTTTCTTCTCCAACTCCCCCTACTTTTAAAATTTCAATTTGGAGGATGTTCACACAGTCAACCTCAGTTCCTGCGAGTATACCTGGAAAGACACCAAAAAGTTACAGAAACAGCAAGCATGAGGGATTCCCCACTCATGCTCGAGGTTCCATAGAAATTCTACACCACCTTTTCTAACCCAGTCCGCTAGGCAGGCAATTCCACAAAGGCGGACTCAACCTTGGAGTGGCCCTCATGCCAAACCTAACAAAATGATGAGGCCAAACTTCAGAATCAATCTGAAGCCCATAGATTGACCAGCAAACAGATTCTTCAATATACAATGACAATTAAAAATCTTTAAAGGGAGGAAAAAACGAAGTACTTCTCTTCACATTCTCCACAAGATGTGTTACACGGCGAACAAGACTAGATGAAAATAACAAAGCACTAATGATTAGAACGGCGAGTTGTTCTTTCATACACAACCAGATATTCTATAAGAAGCCCATGCCTTCTGACATTTTACCTTCTAAAACTTGACCATTAAGAAGCAAGAACTGGGGAAAAAAAATTGTCTTGCCTCCAACAAAGTCTTCCCCATCCTTAACTAATAGGTTATCTACATTCTTAGGATCGGGAATCCGAGTAGTGCGAAATTTAGCCAAACAACGGTATAATGACAATAACAAAGACAATGGAAGTTGATAACAACGACAATTAAAGTAGATAAAGAAGACACAAATTTAACGTGGTTCGGTCAAAGTGACCTACGTCCACAAGCGGAGAGGAGCAATTTACTATAACAATAAGAGTATAAAAGAGAGTACAAAATTAGAGTAAACACTCTAATTAATCCCAAATATCCTAAGAGAATAACCTCACAAGATTACTCCAAAGAAAGGGTTCACACAAGTGCTTCCCAATACTTAACTCTCTTACAAAACACTCTTAATAAAGGAAGAAAGGAAGAAACAAGAAATGAAAACTCAAGTCTTGTTAGTGTGTCTAAAATGAACTAATGGCCTTCCCTTTTATAGGCAAAAAAGTCTTGACCTCTTAGATGTAAAAGAAGAGATACAACTTGTGCAAATGATGTCCAACACACAATGCAATATTTTTGGGTCCCAAGGAATATTGCCAACAAAGTCTATACTTTGCGAAGATGCTTATGTTTATGTGAGATGGACTTCATTTGACAAAATAATGGTCATATTACAAATCTCCACCTTGGCCTAATTTTGGATGATATAGTAATTTGCTCCACCTTCTCCGCAAAAGCCCCAATGGGCATATGTCAAAATTTAATGCCATCAAAATCAGACAAGTTGTCTGATACCGAAACTGTAGTAGAGCCTATAACAGTGGAGCCCAATAAAGTATACAACGAACCAGATTTGTGTGCTTTCATGATCACACGAGCACCTTGAATAATTTTAAGAACTCCACCTTCACCAGTGAATTTGCACCCAAGGAATTCTAAAGTGCCCAAAGATATGAGATTTTTCTTCAACACAGGAACATATCTAACATCGGTGAGAGTTCTCACCACATCATCGTGCATTCTGACCCGAATTGTACCTTTGCCAATAACGTTACAAGTAACATTGTTACCCAATTGGACAACTCCACCTGCAACTGAATCATATGTAGAAAACAAGTCCCTGCTAGGACACATATGATATGAACAACCGGAATCTAAAATCCACTCATTGTCTAATCTGAAACTAGTTTCAGTTGCTAAAAATATAGTTCCCTCAATCTCATCAGTTGCTACACTAGCTTCGGCGGTGTCAGTATTTTTGTGCTCATTTTTTCTTTCTTTGTGCTTTTCTTTATTTTTCAGTTTATAGCATTCAGAGATATTGTGACCTTTCTTATGACAATAGCGACACTCTAAATTATTGTATCTGGAATTGGAGTCGAATTTGCCCCTAACAAACAAGCCAACTTCCGCTTGAGTTCCACTAGCTTTCCTAGTAATATCACTATCTATCTGTTCTTTTGATTTTAAGATAGATTTAATATCCTTATAAGAGATATTATCCTTTGCATAAAGCATATTATCTCTTATATGCTTAAAAGATGGGGGTAGAGAACAAATCAGTAACACGACTTGATCCCCATCTTTAATTTCAGCATCTATATTACTCAAATCCATAAGAATGGAATCAAAGGTGTCAAGATGAGAAAGAATAGAGGTACCTTCACTTATACGAATTGTATAAAGCTTCTGCTTCACGTAAAGCCTATTTTCCATCGTCCTCTTCATATATAAGGTTTTCAATTTTTCCCACATGCCTTTCGCTGTGGTTTCTACAAAAACTTCACGTAAAACCTCATTTGAGAGATTTAAAATAATACCTGCTTTTGCCTTTTTGTCTATGATGACAAACTCCTCGTCCGTCATTTTATCCGGCTTCTTCTCCTTTCCTTGCAACGCCAAGTCTAAGCCATCCTGAATTAGGATAGCTTCTATCTTTAATTGCCACATTCCGAAGTTTGCACTTCGGTCAAATTTCTCAACATAGGACTTTGTTAGAGTCAT